AGTCACCCGCTGCATTAGAATTTACATTTTTCCTCTTCTTCTCAGTCTTCTTCACATCCCAATATCCTTTAACAAATTTATCCTCATGTATATCTCGGATCAAATTATCAAGTGCTGGGTCCTCTTCTTCATCTGGCCACGTATGAAATAGCTCTCTGACATCATCCTTCATAACCAATTTACTCACACGCAGCTATAACATAAGAGATTATAAAACCCATTAGTAAATCAATAATTATAACTCAGCCATCACTATCCAGCACTAATATAACTCAGCCAGCGCATAAATCATAACTCAGTCATCAAAAACGATAACTCAGCCATCATAAAATTTAACTCGGCCATTACTAAAACATAACTCAGTCAGTAACTATCAGTCATCAAAAACGATAAGTCAGCCATCACAAAATATAACTCAGCCATTACTAAAACATAACTCAGTCAGTAACTATCATAACTCAGTCAGTAACTTTCATAACAGAGCCTAAACCTTACCTCACCATGCGCTTTGATATCTTCAGCAATGGTCAATTCCATTGTTTTACGTGTACGGTTTCCACCCCAACGAAGCAACGGTATCTCATCCTTGTTGACTACTCTCCCATATCGCTCTCCAAAGCATTTGACTGAATCATACGCCAAAGCCTGTAACACGTAAACCATACCACTGACGGTGTACGTCTTTCCAACAGGCCTCAACATCTTTATAGAATTAACCAGGGCTTCAAATGCTGACCGACCCCATGGATAAGTGTTCATGGCTTCCTCATCAAAAACTCTTTTCGCACTTTCAAATGGTATTCTAGAGTTATGATGCAAGCCATACAGTCCAATGGCTTGAAGAGTCAACAGCCCCAACCACTTACGCTTTTCAGGAGTCCATGTCCTGCACACTAGTAATCCTGCCCTCAGTTCATCTAACTTTGGACCTTCACCACCAGGCACATTCAATTCACTGAAGAACGCTTTGTAGTCAGCTTTAGGTTCAAACTTTTCTGTAGGGATTGAACCTGTGTTTAACCCCGTGATATGACCAAATTCGTTCAAGCCAAACCTGATAGGTTGACCACCAACTAGAAACCAAATCTCCTTCTTGTGTATTCTTAACTGTCTACACAGTAGAAAATGTACAGTCTTACCAGACCACACGAATTGGCTTTCAGCTAGCTTAGCAATTATTCCAATAGGTGACCCCTTCAGTTCATTCCACGCATCTTGTCCTATTGATTCTATAATCCCAGGGACATCTCCCATCTTGATATTGTGATTTAACAATTTATTCTCCAGAATAGACTCCCCTTCTGCGTAAAGTCTTGGAGGGTAATCCCTTGGTTGTTCTTCAGAAATAACCTCAGCCATCTGATAAACCATAAATCAGCCGTAAGCATACAGTAACTCAGTCACAACATAAAACAAACTCAGCCACAGTTGAGCAGATAAACCATAAATCAGCCGTAAGCATACAGTAACTCAGTCACAACATAAAACAAACTCAGCCACACCATAAAACAAACTCAGCCATAGATGCATTGATAAATCATAAATCAGTCTAAAGCAAACAATAACTCAGCCATGGAATCGAATAGATATAACAAATTAGCCACCATATGAAAATCAACGTTGGCGAAAATCAGCTGTAATAAGCGTCGATAAAAACCCTCAATTTCTTCGCGATAGTTTTCGGAAAACAGTTTCTATCACGGAAATCACTCGCTATTGAACTTAGATGCGGGAAAATGTCGGAAAATCCAAAATAAAGATTCGACACATACCTTAAACAAGTTGAGTTGAGACGAAATGGTCCCGACTTGAGGTGAGGCGACGAAGTAAAAGGTCCCGACTTGAGTAGAGACGAAATGCGACGGAGAGAACGAGAGAGTTAAGAGTTTCGGCCGGAATTAGGGTTTCTTAGTCTTAGTCGGAATCGCGTCTCCGTCGGAGAAAGAAAAAGTTTTTTCAGTTTTTTTTTTTTCGGAGATGAACAGTGACAGAGAGGGAAATCGAAAGGGTTCTCTTAATGACGTTAATGACGTGGCTTTAATTTGTTTTTCTTTTAATGACGTGGATTAACATAATTTTCGTTAATCATTTCTTAATTAAAAATGGATTAAAAAAAAAAAAACTAATCAAGGGTGTTAATTGTAATTACACAAAGACGCTAAACATATGAGTAATTTTTAAAAAATGTATGATATTCTAGTAATATTCGAACTTTTGGTTAACATCTGAGTAAATATTTCTTTTTATATAGTCTAATGCTCGCAGGTTGAATTTTTCTCTGGAGGTATACATGTTTGTTGTTTGCTTTAACTTTTATTACCAAACCGGCCTTAAAATGAGTTTTCCAAATGGTTTTAAAAGCATGTAGTTCTCATTAATTAAAATGGGATTAGGGATCATATTTAACATAAAATATCAATATTTGTTTCCTGAAAAAGTGCTTGCTCAATCCAAACGCATTAAGGGTCTAATAGAATCACTAGGTGCAGTAAACTGTTAAATTGACTCTAGGACTAGCCATTTTCAGCTTGATTTCAACGAAATGATTCAACTTTTTCTGTTTAATGCTTATTACTTATGTTTTTGTCGTAAATTATTGAGGTTCGGAGAGAGGAAAGCATTGGTCCTCGTCGGGTCTGGCTTTAGGCGTTCCTAGTTTCTTAAGCGTCATCATTTCGTAGGATTAAGTTCTTATGAGAAAGCTTTTGTATCATTTGATTTTGTCTTTTGTCAAAGCTTCCTACTTTTCTACTTGTGCTTGTTGCAACTATGGAGAGTGAAAGCTCTTCCCTGCTCTGCTACATGTCTGTGATTTGCTATGTTTATTCTCTTCTCGATTTTGTGTGTTTAGAAACTGTTCAAGTTCCAAGAGAAACATTTTCCTTATCGCGTCTACTGGCTTAACTATTCCCAATCTAGAGATTTTGCCTTTCCAAAGATATTAGGTGATACCAAAGGTTCTCTTTAGTTTCTATATATATATATTTTGTTGTTGTTGTTATTGTGGTGAAGTCCTTATTCTGTAAAATTGACCTCTCTTTGAACACAGCCTACATGTGGTTTCCATTTGATTTGACTCGGCTATTTATTTTATTCGTCGAAGTTATGTGCTCTTTCTTAATTTCCATTCTTTTGTTTCAATTGATGGCTGAAGAGATAGGATTGGTGGTTAACTTGACTGTTTCGGAAACGCTGAGAGAGAAGCCAAGTAAAAACATTAAAGAGTGCACAAAGAAATGAGGTTCAATGTTTCTCTCTCCCTGTACTTTTTGATTTTTACGGTTAATTGATGCTACACTGACATGAGACGATGCTCTAAGTTTGAAATTACAGTATCTATTTACAATTATGCTGGTATCAATTTTTCTTGGCAGCAAGCTGGTGTTAGTACATTAACATTGCTCAAAACTGCGGTTCAGCAACAGCCAACAGATGATCCTTTTGAATGTATGTGGTTACATGTTCGTCTTTTTTTATTGGATAACTTAGATGTTGCATCTAATTTCTTGTTCTTTTGGTGTTGAAAGAAAGAAGCTAGTGCGTATAGTGTTAAGGATCTTGCTTCACATAAATCTTTTGCTCTGCATATTGGCCATCTCTCTAAGGAAACTGGAAATTGTTTTTTGTTTGGTTGTGCTATTGGTCTTAGTACTGCACAAAAGAAACGTGCATAGGTTTTCTGCATGTTCTTGGTAAATGCAAGTCAGGGTGTATATGTCTGAATTAGTTTTCGTGTATATGTCTGAATTAGTTTTCGAAAAGGTTTAAAAAGGTCATCTTATTTCATGCCTTTATCAATATATGGTCGGAATCATTCTTGTGATTTGATAGCATGTAAGATGTGCTAGTAATAGTTTTGGTGTCATGAAGAATTTTCAGGTTCCTTTTCTTGAGAGAGATACTGTTATATTGAAAGTTTTTTGTGATTAGTTGGCCAAAGTGATTGTATAGATCAGTTTTTTTCCGGCTCTTGATTATGTGGGTTCACTTCTTTGTATTAGGTTCTCTTTATTATAGAGCGTTCATGTTTTTGCTCTTGCTTTTGGTCGCTTAGGAGGATGGGTTTGTGTTAGTTGTTTCCTTAACTCTCTTTGGTTGTTTATGTCCTGATAAAAGTGCTTCTAGATTTTAATTATGTGTTACTTAATTACTAACGTAACTTCAATTTTTTTTCAGGAGTTGGAATCATTGTTGTTTTCTGAATATATTCTCCTCTAAGACTAAGTGGACTAGCAGATATGCCTGCAGTTTACTGAAATAGGCTATGAAGCAGATATCCATTTCACTTACAAATGTAGATGAATCATCACAAGACTCTGAAGCTGTATGTATTATGTCGATGCTATAATGAAAAACCAACTTTTACTGGTTCAGTAGAATCTTGCATGTGCTGCCAAAACTTGTTAATTTTCAGGCTGCAAAGGGGAGCATTTTGATGCATATCACATGGTAGAATTGCAATTTTACATTTTTTTACTGATGCGTGCGAGACTTTTTTGTGTGCAGGATATCTAACAATTAAAAAATCAGAGAATTGCAATTTAACTAGTGTCTTGTTGTGGGTTTCAGATCACTCACTTCACTTGGTCCCTTGGATCAGGATCGAAGAAATAACAGTGTTTTAAGGTAAAAAGTCTCTGTTTGTTTGGATTGAAGCAAAGTTCATAATAAGGCAAAGATCATAATATCAAACTTTCTTTGTTGTCTCTTTTTTTTTTTATATATAAAAATGATATTGTTTTGATCTGTTTTCCCTCTGAACAGCAATATCTCAAAATAACGGCTTTTCGGTTTGCCAAGTGAACTGATGAGTAAAGGAAAGAATTTCATATTGATACGAAATCCTTTTAAAATACTGGTCAGACTTTCTCATCAAACACCGGTTCTAAGCCAATGTTTTACTCATCAGCCAATGTTTCATCTAATGTTGTTCTCTGTTTATCCTTTTTGCAGCCTTCCTCTGTGAAGGTACACCTTCCAACGTTTCTCGAATTAGGCTTAGGGGAATTAGTTTTATATGTAGTAATCTCTGTGAGATGGGAACACCACCAGCAGTCATCGATGCGGATCAGCTTCAGCTAGATCCCGAGATTTTGTTTCTGTAATATGTTAAAGTTTCACAAAGATGTCTTTTTCTCCTACATGTTATGCCATCCATATATACATGCAGACTAAACTACGCAGTCTTTGTGATGATTTGGAGATTCCATTTCAAGCCTCTATGCTTTAGTAAGGTTTTCTCCTATCATAATCTTAAGGTTTAATATATATCAAAACATTAATTTTCACTATGGTTTGCTGTTTTTTCATTAAGATGGGAAGTTGGTCCTATACCAGATAGAGTATGGGCACCATGGTGGTACAAGAGTGTGCACGAATCAACAGGTTTCTCATCTCCAAAGAAGTATCCTCGAGTAAGGCCATTGTTTGTTGTGGTTCAATGATTCTAAATTCACTCTAAGATGTGTTTGGTATTAATTTTTTCCTTCAGAGATTTCCATTGTCACACTATGATTTGCTGGAGCAAGGTCTAGTTAAACATTCTCAGGAGGCACTTGAAGCAAATTCTCAGGGATTCTCACTTGTTCTCCTTTTCCTTCAATAGAGGTGATTGAAATTGGGACATCAATTATGAGGGTCAAAGAATCTCTAATAGGGTTTATTTGTTTCTGATAAACTTGCATATTCTAACTTTTTCTTCTTCTTTTCAATGTGTCTACTCGGTTGTACAAGGCAGTGACTCGGTATGGGAAGGACTTCAGATTTACAAGGGAAAGATATTCAAGCTTGAGGAACATCTAGATCGGTAAGAACAGTCAAATCCAGAAACGGAAAAGCATATAACAGAGTTTTCTAAGCAATGTTATTTTATATGTTGAAATATTGGTTAAGGCTGTTTGATTCAGCAAAATCTCTGGCTTTCGAAAATGTTCCAACGTGTAAAAAGGTACGCATCTGGTGACCAATCGCTAAGTTTTGATCGGTTAATACTACGCTACCACAACGGCTTTCTTGTGGCAAAAATTACAGGTTAAAGAAGCAATCTTCAGAACTCCCATAACCAATGGTATGTTTGACAATACTCATATCAGGTTGTCTCTGACTCGAGGTAAAAAGGTATTTCAAGTTGCTTTGAAACCTATTTTAGAAACTTCTGTTTTCATTTCGACCGTTTAGTCTAAAGAAAACTATGAAACTTGTTTGTTTAAGGTAACTTCTGGAATGAGCCCTGCATTTAATCGATATGGATGTACTCTTACGGGTAACCTTTCAGCTTTATCTTAACAACCAATTAATTGTGGCAATCTGATTACATTGGATTTTGATTTACATGAAAATTTTGAGTTCTTTCTTTCAAATAATGCAGTGCTTGTCGAATGGAAGCCTCTGGTCTATGAAAATGACAGTGGAATTGTGCTGGTGACTGCAACCACGCGCCGAGACTCGCCATTATGCTTGACAAGGATGGTTATGTGTCTGAAACCAATGCAACCAACGTTGTAAGTAACCCTTTGATGATTCATTCGCATGATTTTCTATGGAATTTTTCTAGATTATTAAGAGACTAGAGAAGCTCATATTGTCAACAAATTTACCTTCTGTTATACAGTTCATGGTGAAGAAAGATAATTCTTTTCTACTATTTCTTTCAAGGTCATGGAACTTGTGGTGAAAGAGAACTTCATCTTAGAAGAAATAAGAATTAGTCTCTCCAAATTCCATACAGTTGATGAGGTTTTTTCAGCTTACAAAGAATCAGTATTTTGGGGATCAAATCGATTTATTTGTGCCTCTCTCTTTCTCTAGAAAAATTTAACATTGGTTTTGTTTTTTCAGGTATGGACAACATGAACTATGGCAGAACTCATAAGTGAACTAAGCCGGGTATGTAGAGTCTCTTGAATCGTTCAATCGTTCTGCACTTGAATCTATGACATTCACTAACTGAAAACAATAAGTTTTCACTTAAACTTTGAATATATGTAATCTATAACTAAAGTTCTTGATGACATCTTCAAAGGATCTTACTTAACCATATGAAAACAGTAAGTCTTTGAGCATAATATAATATCCTCTTCTTTGGTTACAGGTTGTGTAAATCGATGGGCGTGTGATTGGTGATGGAAAAGTTGGACCGGTAATGAGAAACACTGCAAAAATGCTTACACGAAACTGATAGAGGATTCAGGTGTGCCAACAACACTTACTTACCAAAAAACCAGAAATACAAAACCAGAGGTAATCAAAGTTGCTAAAATATGCATCTATCTAAGAGTAGTAAGAAACCTGAAATACAAAACTAGAGGATTCAGGTGTTCCAACAACACCTACTTACCAAGAAACCTGAAATACAAAACCAGAGGTAATCAAAGTTGCTAAAATATTCATCTATCTAAGAGTAGTAAATCAAATTTTTTGGTTATGATCTAGCCATAGCTTATCAAATGCAAGAGTAGGTTAAACATTTGATCTTTCACATGATTTTATTGGTTTTGAGAAAAAAAGCATAAAGCTTTACGTTATCTTTAATAGACTTCCTTTCACATCAGTAAAGCAGCTTTCTTTCTTTTGAATTGATCATTGTAGCCTTCTTGTGGTCGTTTCTTTTTATTTTCCATCTTGAAATATGAGAACTAGTGAACATTTATCTTTAGGGATGCCATATCTATAAATTTATGTCATACAAATCTGTGGAATATCATTTTATATATGTGTTAGCCTTTACCTTAACTTATTGTTGTTAGCTCGTACTAGATGGAAAAATCTCAATGAATGAAATGGCTGAATTGCTTAGTTTGATGTCTCATTTAAAAAAAAAAAAAAGTTGTTGTTCAAGCTCTGTTATGGTACCATTTTATAACCCACCTGATATAAAAGGGTTGTGAGTTTTCAAAATTATTTTTAGTCAGGTATTTAGGGTTTGGCTACTTCTTTCTCAAGGTCTATGATTTTGTTAACATTTTTTTGGCGCTCCATTAGAAGTTCATAATACTCATTGCTTGCTCTAGATTTGAGTGATCCAGGAACCTTCACAACCCTTTGATGAAATTTTTCCCCTTCTTGTGATTGTAATTTTCGTAAGGTCTTACCCTTCTTGGGGATTCTTTCACTTACTAGGCTTTGGTGTATAGCTTTTTCTTGATGATGGTTGTGTCTATCTGCTCTTTATTTTTTTGACAGTTTCCTTGGAAATATAGGTTCAGTGGCTTGAAACATTTTGGAGATGGATATGGTAGACAGAGAAAATACTGACCAGAGTGTTCTCCATGATCAGGTCACTGATTTACGGCAATGATTTTGTCTTATAATGTAAGCTAGCACCTATAGGATATTTGTGTTAAGATTTTTCTGGTGTTGCTTTTTCTGCAAGTTCGTGTGGGTTTAACTCAGAATCAATTCATAATAGAGGTGAGACCTGTATAATACTTTTTGGTTCCTAATTGGTTTACTCGAGAGGCGGCTTTCTTATCACTTTCTTTTGATGGTCTTCAGGTTTTGTATGTTTTTTGCTCATGATGGTCTTTAGACTTTAGAGTAACTTTTATTTGATTTAGTTTGAAGATTGCTTCTAAGAGTCAAGAAGGTATTTGTTTTCTTCTTTTGAATACACCTTTTTTAGAAATAGTAGATGGTTAACTTCATTATTTCAACCAAATATAATTTTTCCGCGTGTCTTATTGCGTGTTTCAGATTTTCTTCATGACTAACTTCACTCTGCTATCTATTCTTCGTATTTCTTTCTAAAAGTTATATAAGTTCTTTCAAATTTGATTTTCTTGTCCTAGTTGATGGCAAGAGATAGGATTGGTGGTTGAAGTTGATTGTTTCAGCAAAGCCGTGAGAGAAACGAAGTAAAGATCATAGAGTGCCCAGCCAAATTTGTTCCAACGCCTCTCTCCCTTTACTTTGTCGTTGACAGTTATTTGATGCTACACTAACATCAATTACAGTTATCTATTTACAAATATGCTGACACCATTTATGTTTGGCAGCAAGGTGGTGTTGCTACATCAACCGGTGATTCTTCTTAATGCATATAGTTACAGCCTTACTGGTTTGTCTTATTTATCTCGATAACTGATATGTTGAATCTAAACGGTTATTCTTTTGTGCGTAATAGTGTAAATGATCTTGCTTCAAATAAGTCTTTTTATGTGCAATAACAACCTTGCTGGATTTTGCTATGGAGGATAAAGTGACTTGAAAGGTAAACATTTTGCCTTATTTTGGATTTTAGTTGTATAAATATTTTATCTTGTCTAATGTGTGCAGGTTAACTAAGAGCGACGTAAACTCATCGCTAAAAAGTCATACATGCACACATGCATATGTTGAATTTTTCCCTGAAGGTATGTATATTTTTCTGTTTGCTTTAATTTATACTACGAAACCTTAAAATTATGTCTTTCTCATGAATATAAAATGGGCTTAGGTATCATATTTAGCAGAACAGATCAAACTGATTTTTCATGAAAATACAATTTGATTTTTCCCATGGCAAGCTGGTTGATCCTGAATATTAGAGAAATATCGATTAGGACGATCTAGATGTGTTTTTCAAGAATGAAGGGTCTAAGAGAAGGGCTTGCTGAATCCAAACGCTAAGAGAATCATAAGGGGAAGTAAACTTTTAAATTCGTTCTCTTACTAGCCATTTTTTAGCTTGATTTCTATGAAATGATATAGCTTTTTTTTTTCTGTTTACTGCTTATTACTTATGTTTTTTGTAATACATTATTGAGTTTTACATCGCAGAGACGAAAGCATTGGTCCTATTAGGGTATGGCTTTAGGCGTTCCGAGTTTTTTTAAGCATCATTATTTCGTAGGATTAAGTGTCATTATGGCTTTAGCCAGTATGAGTGACATGCTTTGTCAAGAGCACTTGTAGCTGAGGTTATACCGTCGACCCTCCTCCTGCTGAGATTGATCTCTCGAGTCTGAATGCCCGAGATAGGAGAAAGATCAAAGAGGCAAACAAAAAGGTCAAAGATCAGATTTCCCTGGTCGGGAGAAATAAGAAAAATGCAATTTCCACCGGGGACGACAAAGTCTACCGAAAAACTCTTCTAGTTGACGATGGGTCACTAGAAGGTTCAAAGTCAATGGCAGTTGCTGTAAACGATGCTCCTCCCTCTACCCCAGCAGCAGACAACGTGGTCGCTGCCACTGCCGAAAAGGAAGGCCTTACAGGTGATTCTTCTGTTATGAAGAAGAGGAAGGCTGAAGAACTTGAGCCTCTGCTCCAGGGACGTCCCAAGAACACAAGGAAGGGCAGAGCCGCTCCTTCTAATCTGTCCATTCCCGAATCTGCTGAAGCTCATGATGTAAATCCTAATTCAGGAATTGTTTTAAAGGAACCGCTGGGTTCAGGGATGTTACCCCCTAGACGTCCCCGAGGCAATACCTCAAGGGTTCGATCTTCTCCGACCTCAGGACTTGTTGCCAGAGCTTCATCCCAATCAGGTAACCTTTAACTATCATTTTGTTACTTGAGATTAATCAACTTTTTAAGAAGTTCAATCCTCACATAACTATTTTTATTCTAGACAAAGAGAAGATTGGAAATATGTTTAGGTGCTTCCACACCCGCTTTGGGAAGAAACTTCCGTCCTTTGAGTGGTGGAATCCTGAAATCAAGAAGATGTATATCAGTCATTCATTCAACTCTTCCCAGGTTTGACTATTTGCATCCTTAAACAACCGATTTCGAAAAATCTCTCTCTTTTAATGCATCTTCTTTCATTAGGCAACTCTGGACGTGAATGGCATCGTCAACTATTACGAAGAGGAGCTTGCCAAAGTTTCCAAGAAAGCTGCTGCTGCTGAAGGTGAGATTGAGAAACTGCAATCTTCCAGTCGGCTTGTACAGGAGACTGCTGGCCTCGACTCGGCTCGCCAGGAAGAAATCGAGCAACTCGAGAAATCTGGCGAGGAGACAAGGAAGATTTTGATTGAGACAGAGCAAAGGCTAGAGACTGCCCTCGCTGATCATGACTTCGCAAAAGGCGAGATCAAGCTTCTGAGATCAGAGCTTAACAGGGTTAAAACAGCTGCTGAGGAGCTCGAACGCAAAAATGAATCTCTTTCCGAACTAAAAGATCGAGATGTTCGCAAAATATCTCATGATGCTCGGAAGGAGGTTAAGGGAGCTGGGCAAAAGTTTCTTCTTGCTGTGCAGGAATTTATCACTGCAGATAAAGCTTGGAACAAACTTAACTCCGAACGTGATGAGATGAAGAGCAATCTCGATCTGATCAAGGAGATAGAGGACAGAACAGTCAACTTGGCTGAAGAAAAGGAGACAGTTGGCGCTGAGCTTGCTGAGACTGAAGCTAAGCTAGCTACTGCTCCTCAGCCATATTTGAATTTGCAGCAGTTTGCTTCTAAGTTCGCTGATTCCCCTCCACTGACTGAACCAAATATTGGTTTGTCTTTGGACGAGATGATGTTAACTGGTTCGTATATATATATATAACTACAAGAAAACCTGCGTTTTGCAACTAAACTTTGCGACCAAACTTTTAGTCGCAAACTTGTGTGACTATTTTGTGACTAATTTACGACTGTTTACCGACGAATTCAAACGCAGTTGGAATTTAGTCGCTATTTGGCGACTAAAACAAATAGTCGGCAATTGGTCGTTCATTAACGACGGTTTTGCGTCCGATTGCAGACTAATTTGTTTTAGTCGCAAATGAGTCGCATCCGATTGCACATGTGCGACTGATTTGCGACTCGATATTTGGTCTGAAAATATGGTCGCACTTTAGTTACGCTTTCGTTGCAAACTAGTTGGAAAAAGTTGGCACAAAACACGTTGAAAATGCAGAAGAGGTAGGTGTACTAAACTTTTGTGACTACATGAAACGGTCGTAGATTAGTCAAAATTTTAAGCCTATATATACCAACCTCATTCATTTAATTTCTCCATCCCACTCTCTTCCATCCTTGCAAATAGTCACAAATTTTTTTTTTTTTTGTTGTTGATAGATTGTGAATGGAAATACGTGTTATATATGGAGAATAATAAGATAGTACATAAAGAGACATCAAAGATTAAGTCGTTGAGCAATGGAGAGGTTTTAGTGGAGAAACGAGGAGTGTCAGTTTTGGAGAATGGAGGTGTTTGCAAGATTGATCGTATGACAGGGCTAAAGTTCAAGCGCCGAATGTTTTTGCTGTGAGGGATTTCCCACCGGGTTGTGGGACCGGTGTGGAGCGGTTTGGATTGAGAAAAATGGAAGATGAAGAAGAAGAATTTGAAGATGAATGAGTTTTATAATTATGAGATATTTTTATTTGTTTAATAAATGTATAAATATGTGTTTTGTAAGATATTCTAGCATGTATGTTTTATTCAAAAAAGAGGAAAAAATAATCTAAATCAGTGACTAATTGTCTTGTGACTAATAGATAACAGTCGCAAAAGTGCCACCATTTTGTAACCATTGTTCATTTAGCGACTATTTTGCGACGAATATTGCAACTATTGACCGACCAATATTGCGACTATTTTGGTACTAATTGTGAAATTTCTAAGATTTTTGCTAAGTGTTTGGTCGAACTTATATAGTAATAAGATTCATGCACACCAAGTGTTCGTTAAAATGTCCTAACCAATGACATCTACAGATCCATTTTAAAACCAAATTCAATTGATGAAAATACTACAAGACAACATTACACAAACTAGAATTCTTATGCAAATACTCATAAATATTACAAGTTCAAGTTGGGGTTGCTTAAAGTCTCATAAACAATATTACATTACAACATTACACAAACTAGAATTCTTATGCAAAGAAGACATAGTACACCATAGCCATGACCAAACCACCACACACAACCATATTTTTGAAGCTTCGTAACTCTTGTACCTCTTTCTCACACAAACTGACGACATCTTTGAGATATACAATCTCTTTCTCACATCTTTCTGCCCTTTCTTTGATAGCTTCAAGCTCATGTAATCCTTTTGCTAAGCTTCCCACATCTCCTTCTATCTTCTCAACCACACTTTCAACCATTTCCATCTCTTCGACCATGGATATGTCGGTCCACCTAAACAAATGATGCTTATTCTGCAACAAAAATACACTCATGAGGACAATTTGCATATGTTCATACAACTTGAGAGCATATCATAACCAAAAAGATCACATTTTTACAACGTACAACAAAACCTAAGCAGCTAGAGAATGTGAAACTAAGATCAACGTAGACAAATTACGAAAGGTGAGAGATAAACCAATGTCTCGAAGCAAGATCGAAAGCTAAACGAAAATTCAAATCAAGAGAAGCTTTGTGTACCTTAAGATTCTATAACTTAAGAAAACATTACCTCACCAATGTCTTGAAGCAAGATCGAAAGCTAAACGCAAATTCAAATCAAGAGAAGCTTTGTGTACCTTAAGATTCTATAACTTAAGAAAACATTACCTCCTCTGATCCGGAAGGACAACAATGAAAGAGTCTCCCCGGATTTTTCAAAGTGTTTGAAGTCTTAATCACAGAGAATTGACCACATTTACATTGTCTTGGGATCCCTCTTCCTCTCACAGAGAACCTATCGCTCACTCCTTCACCAATCCGCAAGAAATTAAGTATCTATCAAAATCTACAGAAAATGAATTTAACAACTTACATTCTCGATTACTGACCTGAAGAAGCTGATGAAGACATCGGGATCAACACTTATGAAGCTCAGCAGAAATTGGGATCTTTAGAACCCTAGCTTTTCCAAAATCCCCAATTCGATTTTATGTCGAAGGATTGAAGAAGAAGAAGACTAAATGAGATGACTAAACGACGTCGTTTTCCCATTTGTCTTTCCTTTAAAATACGTCGCAAATCAGTCGCAAATTTGCGACCGTTTTGCCACAAACGTATATTGAAACGTTTATTCTCCACCAATTTTCTCTTAGTCGCTAACTAGTCGGTCATTTGCGACTAGCACCTGAAGATTTTGCGACTGTTTTGCGACTAGCACCTGAGATTGCGACCCATATGCGACTATTTGCCAACTCTCGATTTTTGTTTTCTCACTTTTCACATTTTAAATTTGCTTACATATAAAGTTAAACATTTCTACACTTATTTCATATTACTCAGCAAGAAAATCTTAACCAAAGTCATAAATACTGATGTTTAGAAACAAAATATCAAAAACAAACAAATCTCTTTATGATATTACATTACTCATATGAGTAATGTTTAGGGATTTAGTAAAAACTCTACATTACTTGAGTTTTGCAAAGTTTTGTAACCTTAAACAAATATATGTCCTCTATAACCCTAATATGAGTGTTATAGAGTGATATATGTCACCATTTTGGATCGAAATGTGTAGATTTCAAAATTTTGCCTTGTGACTAATAAATCACAGTCACACAACCGTCGCAAATTTGCCACCATTTTGGAACGATTTGCCTGTTTGCGACTATTTTGCGACAATTGTTGCAACTATTTACCGACCATAGTTGCGACTATTTTGGTACTAAATGTGAAATTACTTGAGTTTTGCAAAGTTTTGTAACCTTAAACTAATATATGTCCTCTATAACCCTAATATGAGTGTTATAGGGTGACATATATAACCATTTTGGATTGAAATGTGTATACCTCTCCTTTTGCGTTGTGACTATAGATTACAGTCACAATCTGGTCGCAAAGTCGCCACTATGTTGGAACTGTTTACCATTAAGCGACTATATTGTGACCATGTTTGCAACTATTTGCCGACCATTATTGCGACTATTTAGGTACTAAATGTGAAATTTCTAAGATTTTCGCTAAGTGTTTTGGCGGTTTAGATTCCCCCCAATTTTTTTACTTTGGTACCATTTTGCGACTAAAGAGCGACTGGTACTCTTAATTAATTAGGTAAAACTTAAACGAACCCTCATTTCCACCAAAATCCCCAAATCGATTTAGGGTTTCTCTCTCAATCTCTCAATCGTCCCCTCTCTCTCTCAATCGATTCTCACACAAAACTCTCTCAGTTTTTCCCGATTCTCTCTCAAATCTCTTCCAATCCTCTCGAATCCTCTCTAAAAGCTCTCGAATCTCAACATCTCAAATCTCAAATCTTCTTATGCCGCCTAAAGGTAAATCCTCTCGAGGTCGCGGAGGTGGCGCTACCACCAGAAGAGTGGCCGCCGGAGGTGGCCAAACCAGCAGACAAGAAGCCGCCGGAGGTGGCCAAACCAGCAGACAAGAAGCCGCCGGAGGTGGCGCAACCACCAGACGAGTAGCCGCCGGAGGTGGCCAGGCGCTACCACAAGAAGCTGTAGGAGGAGGCGAGACCAGCAGACCAGTAGCCTCTCGAGGTCGAGTCCGAACCTTCGTTGGTCACAGACCACCAGTCACTGCGAGTGGAGTCGGAACATCTTCAAACGCGTCGAACCCATCCTTGGCAAGTCAGTCTGCGACCCAATCTCAAGTGAGTCGTCCTTCACTTAATTCTAGTAGACAGAATCCTCCTCCTAGGCAGACTCCTCCTCCTCAGCCGCAGCATCAGCCACCGTCTCCTCAAACCCAGCCTCTACCGGAACATGATGCGAATCACCAAGTGCTACCTGAAAACGAAGACCTTGAAGAGGAAGAGATCGATGATGTAGGACAAGAAGATGACGAAGAAAACCCTAATCCTGGGGAAGACTACCAAGATATGCTGGATCGTTTGCTAGCTCTTCCAGGCCGAGAACATCTTCCTCGATTGTCTGTACACCCAATCCCAAACGTTGAAACATTCTGGTATTAACACTTTTGTCCCTCTGTTTGTTTTGTTTGATGTGTGATGTTTGGTATTGCTAAAAGTTTTGGTCTGACATTTATCATTTGACTAGGGTTTGATCTATCATTTGCTAAAAGTTTCAAAAAGATACATGTTATTGCTTTGGTCTGACATTTGCATATTATTGGTCTGACATTTGCATATATTAGCTTGTAATCGTTGTTGTAATCTTTGCTATAACATCCTCAACATTCATGCTCATTCTCTGTTTGTTGTTTGCTCTATATAAAATCTGCTTTATATAGACTAATAGCCTCTTGTTGTAACAGGTTTAACCGGCAAAAGGGGGTGCTGTCTCGAGCAATTTCTAGAATATTTAGGAGGAAGTTTGATGGGCCTTACTACAGCTGGAAGGTTACTCCAATCAACATACAAGAGAGATATTTCAGAACTTTTGCGGTAATGAATATATATAGCTTTCATTCTCTCTTATTGTAGTATATATAGTATGTTACTAACTTACTATTTTGTGTTATGTAGCGGGAGTTTAATTGGGATACTGGGATTACTGGCCTTGTTAAACAAGGATTCTTGGTTATAGCGCAGAAACGGATGAAAGGCATTGTCAGTCAAGTGAGAACGAAAGGTGTACAACCAACTTGGATTAGATTTACACTTTGGACTGAGATGCAGAACTTTTGGAAGACCGCTGATGCTATAGAGAGGAGTGAGAATGCTTCACAATGCAGAAATTCTGATCGTGGCGGACTTGGAGTGCACAAACACTTAGCCGGTCAGAAATCATTTATTCAAGTTCATCAAGAGATGGTAAGTTGTTTCAATCGCTCCAAATACTTTACTTTTACATAATTTCTACACATGATATTCTTTTTGACTTTCATTTCAGGAGGAAGAGTTGGGGCGTCCAGTTTCATTAGGTGAAGTGTTTATGAGAACGCATACTAGAGCTGATGGCTCTTTTGTTGATCAAAAGTCTGAACAAGTGGCTGAGGCATATAAGAAGACAGTTGAAGAGAGATTGGCTGAACTGGAAGAGGATGTTCAGGATGCTTCAGAGATTTCCTCTGAACATTCAATGCATCCTAGAGAACTCAGCATTGATGAAATGAATGATATCTTCCTTAAGGTAAGTCATTTCTGTCTTTAGTTTGCTTGGATTATATGATTGTATTTTTTTGCTTGGAGTATGATAGTCTTGTCTGCTGAGCATTAATACTTTAATATCAATGATGATTCTTATTTGTCTTTGTCTGATTTGCTTTGTGGATTGTCTTTGTCAGACTTCTTTGCTACATTCTGGATCCTTCTTGTCTGATTTCACTGAATGTTTGTCTTTTTTTGAAGTGTACTCATACAGATGACCAAGGCAACCCTTATGGCCTTGGATCACTGGTGGAGACCCTACACAAGGGAAAAAGGAAGGAGAGTTATGCAAGCTCTTCTTCTACAGTGACAGTTGTTGAGCTTCAAGAGCAGCTGCGGCGCAAGATCTCTAATCAAGATGCTGAGAATGCAAGACGTGATGAGGAGCACCGGAAGTCTCAAGCTCGGATCGCAAGCTTGGAGAAGCTCATCCTTTTCATGAAAGACAAAGATCCAGACTTGGCAGCTTTTATGTCAACCTCTCCACTCCTTGAACCAGAAGTGCTCATACCACCCACCACTACAACAACCACCCTTCCAGCCACCACAGGAGCTGCAGTCCAACCAGCAGGACACACCACTGGAACCACACCAACCTCTCCTCTATCCACCGCCTCAAATCAGTAAACTTGATTTTAGTTTCCTTTTCTCTGTGTATGTGAACTTATTTATGTTATGCTTTGATTAGGATTGTTTTTGAATGGTTTGGAATGGTACTTGATTAATATTCGGATGGTTTTTGAATGCATTTGCTTTTGAAATGGACAGGTTTCGGACTAATAAGATGTAACTATTTTGTGACCAAAAAGTTTCAGAAATTCGGACTAATTTGTGACCAGAACAATTAACAAATGTGACCAAACTGTGACTAAACAAATTTACAAATAACTCCAAATCTCGTATCAAAATGGTTACTAATTTAGGACTATTTTGTCACCATAATTAATGAGTCCTAAAATAGTCGCACCATGTGCAACTCTTTTGCGACTACACTGTTACTAAAACATACACATTTTGCGACTAAAGTGCGACTAAGTATTTGATCCAAGAACTCTAAACGGTCGCAAACAAGGCGCAAATTGATCCAAATATGTAAGGTTGTTACAGTCGCAGATGAGTCGCTAACGTCTGTTCGTTGCTCTTTGGTCACACATTTGCAACGATATTCACCTGTCACAGATTAGTCGTTAATTTGCGACGATATATTTATAGTCGCCAAATAGTCGCAATTTAGCGACTATAATGAGACACAGAAATTTTGCGACCGTTTTTTTGCGACTACTGGAAATAGTCGCTATTCAGTTGCAAAACCCTATTTCGCGACCGTTTTGCAACCAATATGGGGGTCGCAAATGACGTGTTTTCTTGTAGTGAATTCTCCTCGCGCTCATTTTAATGAGTTCGGAACCAATATTGACAGAATCTCCTCGGGACGAGCGCAGGGGTTCTCTGGTCAGGATCCTGCCATTTCCTCGATTATGGGAGACGACTTTGGATCGAGGAGCGAACCTCCTCAAGATGTTAGCTCGCTTAACCCTGAGGTGGTTCCCACAACTCAAGACGCTGACGTCGGGGGTGCTCTTGTCTCAAGCCAAGTAGGAGATGAAGGCGGTTCGCCTATGAATGAATGATGGTGATTGCATTCACCTTTTATGGGGATTGTCCCTTTAATTTTAAGACATGAAATTCGCTCTGTTGGCCATGGGGCTGTTTATTTTTCGAGTTTTCTGCCCAAGGGGGCTTTTATTACTGTTTTGAATAATTTGCCCAAGGGGGTTTTCAATTAAAATTTCTTTAGAAAGAAATATTTAATCTTGGTGGAAACCATCGATTTTACTTGGAGGGTTTGCAAAGTCCTCCTAACCGAAATGGTTTTAGATGTATAGGAGAGATAGGCTGATCAGACCCACTTGCCTTTTTTAAAGAAAAAACATTGGAATTTTTCCTCGGTCTCTCGGTTGCGAGGTTAGAGCTCGGCTTATAAGAACACTTTGCGATACTTCAAATGTGTTCGATTAGGGAGAACTGTTTGCCTACTAGGTGTTAAGTGATCCTACTAGGTGTTAAGTGATACTTGAATAACCTATATTTCATAGGTCTTGTTTGTGCATGTACACGAAAATCGAAAGGTTATAACTGTCAGATCAATAGATTGACGTTTAACTTCCTTTTCCAATAAATACTCAAGTGAGTAACCTTACATATTTTTCCTATATAAGGAGAACAAGATTTTGGGAATTCCCAGTAAACCTTTTCTTTGCAGTTGTTTTTGATGGCTTCTTCCCAAGGTGAACCTTCTGATCCTAATCCACCACGATTCCCTTCAAGTGAATCTCTTTTCCCAACGGGGGATGGATTCACTCCACAAGGTGTGGCTATTCCTTGTTTTCTTTCTTCCATGTCTAAGGAAGAACAGATCGAGTGCCATGAATTCATGGAGCAGGTTTGAACCTAGTACCAATGGTTTCAAGGTTTTACTTGATGGATTCGTAATGTATATGTTCTTTGCAGATCACGGAAAGATACGTTTTCCTTTGCTCCGAAAGGCAACGCCTCGGAATGAAACGCCGTAACCTCGAGGATCGGATTGCTAGAACGGAAAGGAAGATCCGACGTTTGGAGTCGGACGTTTACAACTGGGAGAGGAGGGGATTTGATTCTATC